AGGGAACGGGACACCCCGGACCGGGCACCGGGGAGGAACGGGGCCGTGCACCGTGTTTTTCCCCGGGATCTGAGCCACATCCGCCGTGCTGAGCTGCCCCCGCTCAACACCCGCGGCTCCCGCAACCGGGAAGGGGAGAAGGGAGGTGAAACGAATCATGGTTGGAATAAAGGGCAGGAAGATCACGCACCGATGAATTACCGGGTAAAACAGCCTGGGTTTAAGAAGACGAAGAAAAAAGTTTATTTGTTACTAATTAATATTAGTCTCAGGCTTGTGTATATGCCCCATTTAAATTATCGAGTAAAACAGGCTGGGATTAAGAAGAAGAAGAAGAAGAAGAAGAAGAAGAAGAAGAAGAAGAAGAAGAAGAAGAAGAAAAATAAAGTTTATTTTTTGCTAATTAATAATTGGATATCTGCTCTGTTTGGGCTTCTGGAAAGCCATGCAGCACCTGGACCAGCTGTCCCTCCCCTCTTTCCCCCAGCCATGCTGCTCACAGGACCTTCCATCACGTTTTCCCCCCTCTCCTCACTGCATTTTGCCCTTTCTTAAATACATTTCCCCAAAGGAAAATGCGTTCTTAAATAATAAATTCGTAGTAATTGCAATATAAATAATTCTTAAGTTTTCATAAATTCTTAAAATCTTATAAATTCGATAAATTCTTCGGTACATTTCCCCAACATCACTGACAGGCTCAGCTGTGCCCTGCCATGGGCTGTCAGAACCATGTGGAACCAGCCAGAAGTGTCTGGAAGTGGCTGTGGATTGTCCCTCCAGTGCTGTCACTGTTTGTCCTGGCTCAGGCTCCAGCAGGGGCCGGTGCCATCGAGTGCCTGGAATGTGCAGTGATCCAGTGGGGCAGGAAAACGTGAAATCCCCCTGCACCACAGCCTCACACCTCTGCCAGCATGGCTGGACTGGCTGCCAGGGAAGGCATGGACAGATCTGATGGGGAAATGCACCAAAAGTTCAAGTTTCACCTCAAACCGGTCTCCTGTTGCTGTGGGATAGCTCACAGGAGGCACTGAGCCTCAAGTAGGAAAAACACAGCTTTTCTCCCCACCAGAGTCCCTGGTTCCAACTGTGGTTTCCCAATAAAATCCCTTTGACAAGATGCCAGAATAGGGAGATGAATGTAAAAACCATTCCCTTCCATTTTCCACTGAAATTATTTAATTTTTGCTTCCTGCCTCATTATTTCCTCCTCCTGAATTGAGCTTTCACCTTGTGAGTGGGTCAAGTGATTTTGGCCAGCAGTGTCTCTCCATGGCATGGAGGGGGACAAAAACCCATGGATGGGGCGAGGGGCAGAAGGCTGTGCAGGGCCAGTGCTTTTTCACCCTGATTTCCAAAAAATACATGTAATTTGGAGACTGCATGGACTGCCTGATTATCACATAATCCCAGGACTCTACATCCTGTGGCTTTCAACTTTCAGGCTGTCACCCCTTTGTTTAGCTCAGTCTTCCCTTAAAATAGCTGCGTTTAAATTGCTCAGGGAAAAGCTCTGATCCAGAATTTGCTTTTGTCACCCACTGTGATTACAAGACCCAGAAATGTCAAGACTAATCTCAGTTCACGTTTCTTTTCAATACTGGGATTTTAGCTGTCATGTGGTGGGGGGATGGCCTGCTCCTCTCAGGGGCACCAGCAGAGCCTCGTTGGGATGGGACTCCTGTTCTCCCCTGCTGAATCCTCTTATCAGCCCTAATTCCGAGTGTCATCAGCTGGGTGTGGGTGGTCCTGGGGGCTGCACTTCCTATTCTACACTTACAAATGGAGGGTGAGGTGGGTCTGGTTTCTCTCCTCTAGATATTCTGGGTTTATGTTAGGATTTTTAACATTAAGTTTCTGTGTAATTGCTTTGAAGCTGTAGTTGTGGGGGATATTTTTTTAAAGGATTTCCTTCCTTGAATTTAGGGTCTTTTTACCTTTGTTTCAAGTGGAATCTGAATGCATTTTGGGTGGAGCTTGACTGTCCTGGGTTCTCTTTGTGGACAGGGTTATGAAAATAAGCTAAAATAATGGTTACTGAGCTGAGCAGTGGTGAAAGCTGGCATTGTGAGTGAATGGTCTGCTCAGGGGGAATGGGAGCTGGATGTGGGTCTGTGAGCCTGGAGGCTGCCAGGGAGGAAGAGTGTGGGTGTGTGGCACCAGGGAGCAGAGCAGGATCCAGCCCTCGCTGGCTGGGTGGCAGGGGAAGCCATGGAGGAAGCTGATGGTGGAGGCCAAAGCTCTCCTGACTTCCCTGTGGGACACTGCCCTCATTCCAAGCAAGAAAGGGCTTAATTTGACTGGAGAGACAGCACACTGAATAAACCAGAGCAGAGCATGTGGGCTCTTGGGGCAGGTGAGTGTGGTGCATTTACCCATTTTGCTGTGGTGGTGGGTCTTTTTGTTTGGTTTGGTTGGTTTTGGTTTGTTGGGGTTTTTTTTGTTTTTTTGTTTTTTTTCTGATTGGGGAAAAATGTTAATGAAGTGTAAAAAGACAATTAGGATTAAAAATGGAGGCTGGCTGCCCCTTCTGAACAGGGCAGCCTGCTCCTGGTTCTCCTTCCTGCTTCTGACCCTGCTCCAGGGGGGAGCAGAGCAGAGCTGTGGTGTGTGAGGATGGGTTTGAGTCCTTCCAGTCTTTTTCTGTTGTGCTCAAGTCATGTTTGTGCAGTCCCTGTATTCACAAGTTCCTTGTGGTTAACTCCTGGATGAACTTGGTGTAAATAGATTCGGTGTTTTTGAAAAAACAGGAGAAGGTTTGGCCTTGGGATTGTTTTTCTAGTTTCATGTAGCAGAGCCAGGTGGGAATTGCATGCTCTGTGCTGGAGCAGAGCAGCTCTGCCAGGTACAGATACCTGCTTTAATCCTTGTGTTAATAACTCCTGCAGTTCCTGGCAGGATGTTTGGAAAGATTTTAGTAATTCTGCAAAAACCAGCTGTGCCTCGGACTTTACAGATGGTAACACTTGGAAAACAGTGTCTGAGATGGATAACATGGCCCATCTTCTTGCCTTCATTGCAACCATGGAGTATGTTCTGATACCAGGAGGATTTGTGTACAGATGCTTTGTGTGATTTGGGACAGAAAAGGATGTTACAAATGTTGGAGACCAAGTTGGGATGGGGCTTTGAGCAGCCTGGTCTAGTGGAAGGTGTTCCTGCTCAAGGCAGGGGTCTGGAAAGGGATGATCTTTAAGGTCCCTCCTAAACCATTCTATGATTCTGTAAAATGTTCTAAAACTGGCAAGTGCCAGGTGTGTGTGTTGCAATACCTGTGGTGTTATCACAGTTGCTCTGAGCTATGCCCATAACATGACTGCACAACAAACCTGTAATCATAGCTTAGATGTAGTTCAGCAATCAGTTGTCTGATTTTTATTATATTTAATTATAGTCTTGTGGAAACATCTCAATTCTGAGTTTCCAGAGCATCATTTAAACAACTTAAACTTCTTACAGTAGACCATGAGAAGGGGTGGTTTGGCAGCCTGTTCCAATAGGATTTGGCAGACCTTGAACATACACTGAAGTATTTGGGTTTGGATGCAAAGCAGGTAATGGTGTCAGGTGTTACAGCTTGTCTGGGAGGTGTGGAATCTGTCTATTTTCTAGCCTCACCTGGGAGTCTTTTGGCAAATTCCTTATTGCTTTAGGATGCCTGTGATCATTCCCACAGCGTGTTACAGCTGGGAGTTTGGGCAGGGCAATAAAAAGAGACTTTTGTCCAAACAGGAGATTGAGGAGAGTTTCTGGGCTAAACTTCTGTTGTCACTCACCAGGGCTGGGCTTGGAAGATAGAAAGAGATTTTTAAGGAAAAAACCCAAACAAACATGTCATTGAGAACAGGACTCTGGGGATTAAGCAGCTAATACCTCTCCATAACCAGTATGTGCTCTGCTTTGCTGACATCTACCACTGCTCCTGACGGCTGATAAATGAAAAGAGTTTCAATTTCACTCTGTCTTCTAAATTTGTGGTAGAAATTGCCTTTGTGTGACTTTCCATATTGCAGACAATTTTTGGGGCTCTGCTCAGTGGCAGGAAAACAGAGTTAGTATCGTTATGCAGGGCTGTGGTACACAATCAGCTACTGGAAACCCCAGCACTGATCTGAATCTGGACTTTAAATGCCATAGTGTGACTTTCTGAGCTGCTGTCTGTTAGATATGTAAGGGTTTATTTGCAATCACTTACTGGAAACTGCACTTGGTTAATTACATGTGAGAACCAAGGAACCACTGACCGAGTCCAGCAAGACTGATTGAAATAGTCAGGAGCCTTTCTCACCTTAGTGATGTGCTGGGCTGGCTTGGGAGAAATGCTGAGTTATTTCTGTCTGGAGAGAATGGCTGAAGCTTTCCTCATTTTTTCCCCAGTTTGCCTTGGCACCTTGCTCATGGCTCAGCTGGACAGGCTGACACTGGGGTGAATGAGCCTCACTGTGCAGAGTTTGAGGC